GCAATAGCGAAAATCAGACCTGAAAAAAATCAGGCCTGTACGGGATTCGAACCACTGACCTCTGCGATACTAGTGCAGCGCTCTACCAATTGAGCTAACAAGCCAACTGGAAGCAGGCCGTTAAGTTGATTCGTAATAAACCCGTGAAAGTGATAAATCAGATACAATGAAATATATGAAGTTCATATATTTTGAACTGCGGTATTAGATACGTATGATGCACGATCCTCGCAGTAGATAGCGCTATTTAAGCAATAGCGAAAATCAGACCTGAAAAAAATCAGGCCTGTACGGGATTCGAACCACTGACCTCTGCGATACTAGTGCAGCGCTCTACCAATTGAGCTAACAAGCCAACTGGGAGAAGGCCGTAAGTTAAATAGCGCTATCTACTGCGAGGATCGTGCATCATACGTATCTAATACCGCAGTTCAAAATATATGAACTTCATATATTTCATTGTATCTGATTTATCACTTTCACGGGTTTATTACGAATCAACTTAACGGCCTGCTTCCAGTTGGCTTGTTAGCTCAATTGGTAGAGCGCTGCACTAGTATCGCAGAGGTCAGTGGTTCGAATCCCGTACAGGCCTGATTTTTTTCAGGTCTGATTTTCGCTATTGCTTAAATAGCGCTATCTACTGCGAGGATCATGCATCATATGTAACTATTTGTCTGTGTCACTTTTTCATTAAGTGGCTATTTATCTATGCTAATGAATCATTTTTTTTAGTCTATGCAACTACTGCTGCCAATCGCCATGAATCCTCATATGCCTGCTACTATGACAAGAAGAGACAAACCTACCTTGGAGATGTGTACTCTGTCAAGTGGATGGAAAACTCTGATGCGGTACGTATGTAACACAACTAACTTCTCCTTTTATTTTCGCAGTGCTGAGGTCCAACTCATTCGTCTCTCAAAAGTGGTTTGTTTTGTTAGTCATGGTAATTCCATACCATGGATTTGTTCTGGAAAACAAATTGTTAACAGCGAAATCTCTAACTTTACCCCTGACTTTTCGAAGGGTGGCTGAAGTTATCTACTCGATAAATCTCCATCCGATGGACAGTACAGTGCGCTTTGTTAACATTTGTCCGCTGGATAGTGATCAATCCCTTGCATAGCGCTATACGCCCTTTATACAACTGGACAGGCTTGGAGTACAGGAAAGCCACAAGATTCAAAGCAGTTATTTTCTCATCAGTTATCAATCGATCAAAAACTTAGCGCAAACTTTCACGATTTATTTACCTGCTTTAGTAATTAGTCTCTGTTTGATTTCATATGAATGTGCAGGTTGATTTAACTAAGGAGACACTCTTGAAGCAATTCCAAATTGTGAAACAGGAGACGAACACCAGTCACGTGATGCAGTATGGAGACCTGGTATATTTGTTATATATTGAACGAATGAGGTTGTTGATATGCGCAGTGGTGGACTCGATTGAGCCGATCGGGAGATCCGAGTTCAAGCCCTGGCTGAGCTACTGTTTCATTTTCTATGGTACTCATACAATGCCCTTCTCCTCCACCTCGGAGTGTAAATGGGTTGTGGTAAACTGTCGGGAAAATTGGTAGAAATTAACGTTCAATACAAATTGCAGCTCTACTCGTGGCTTCATGCTAATGAAACTGGAAAAAGGTCCATCTATGTCGAAAACGCGGAAATCCTTTGTAAATGGTAAGGAAGGTAAATTCTGCACCCATCAATCGAAGTTTATGGCGGTTTTATTTGGGACTTGTGTATTTCTACCCGCTCTGGATGGGATGCTTAACTCTCCCCCACCCCTGTCTCCCCCAAGTAAGTATTTCGTCGTCTTTCCCTGACAGGTCACCAGTACCCATTCATGCTCTGGGGTGGAGAAGGGCTCTGTGAAAGTAAAGTGTCTTGCTTGAGAACACAACACACTGACACAGTAACCCGGCCAGATCTCGAACCCTGTAAATGATAGTGCAAAGCAATCGATAAGAGCACCATTTCTTCTACTAGAGAGGAAAGAAATATAATCACAAATTGAGCACGTAGCTTCTCCAGTGTGGAATTCTCAGACCTTTCCACGAAAAGTGCACTTATACTCTAAGTGGCTCTGTTCAGGTTGTAAGTGATAAAGATGCATCCACTTATCTTTTCATGCCTTTTGACATTAAGATGAAGCTAAAATGATAAGGCGAGTTTTTTCTTTGACAGGATTTTGATGGTGATGACCTGGACGAATTCCAAGGTGACGGCACGGGAATTGTTTCCGGAAAGTCTCCAGAGGAGTATCGTGGGGAACCAATTGTAAGAACAACTTGTAGTTGGGCCACTCTGGAAAATATTTTTGATATAATAGATACCATTCTACATATTCAAAGGTCTGTTAATTTGGAACAGGCTAACAAAATTCCAACAAGAAATTCGATGAAAGGCGTAATTCTAACATGTTGGCTTACATTTATTTGCAGACCGATGCCATTCCTGCACCAGATGTTGAGCTGAATATCCTTCACCACCGCCTGAAGGATAGCGCGAGCCTGGCTGAAAAACGAAAAATTGCTCTTGAAATCGAAGAATTGATCGAGGTAGAGTATGAGGTTTTTTTCTTTTGACATAATTGTCTTAAATGTTTCCTATGACCTGGATTGCCTTTATGAAATCCAAAATCGTTTCAGATATTTTTTCGGAGAACACTTAACGGTTTGCAAAGGTGCACGGGTTATCAAACTGTGCTATTTTGTTGGAATCCTTAAATGACNAGTTTAAACGATCTTACTTGGATTTGATTTGCTAAATTTAAAATTGAAATCGAGAATCACCCGAACAAAATGTTTTTCATTGTGAAAGAACCTTCATTAAACCACGAACTTTAAATTGTCCGTTTTGTTTGTTCAAAAAAACAGCGCAAAGAAGGTGTCAGCAAAACAATGGAGGCAATTGTGCAGCGATGTACCACCTCTGAGGAGCAGAAGACTCGGGTCCTGAAGACTCGTGCTAATCCGGAAGACTTTGACTGTTATAGGCAGGCTGTCAAAACTTTCTCAAAGACCTGTTACAGCCTGGGACAGGTAATGACAACCCAACACCCCCACCCTCCCAACCCTCCCCTCTCCTGGGCAGAGGTATTCTGATACTCTCGAAAAGTTTCGAAAACTCTACTGTATGGTGCAACTTAATAGTGACAAAGACACCTTTTCATCAGTGAGATATCCTGAAAGTGTTGTTGTAATTCTGAAACAAGAGGGAAAATCAATTTTGAAACAAGTATCGTCACAACCCGACATTTTTCTGATGGATGATATTAGAGACGCCTTTCATTTTTTACGCAATACAGCAAAGTTTGATTTAAGGTTTTAGAAACCCAATTGCTCCGCTACTTTCTCCCGGGAACGACCATCTCCTGGAAGGAATTTACGGCTTTGGTTTGCTTACTGATCTACAACTATTTGAATGCAGAGAGAAAAGAAGAAGAATGCTCTCGGACTCACTGCAAAAATTGGGAGTTCTTGCCCACAAAAAGGCCTTCTTAGTCACTCCTCATACTCATGATGCTGTTTTTGAATTTTGTCAGAATGACCACGCCCTGCGTCACGTCTACGCCCTCTCTAACTTATGCGAGGAAAACATTCCAGCTGAAATGTGAGTGTGGTCATACAACTGCTTTCAATTTCTTGGTAGTTATTATAACGCTATCTTTATTTGCAATTTATTGGTTAACATCTGCAGGGTAGAAACCGGTAAAATACCCTAAAAGACGCAAAATATTCCTTGCTGGGAGCTGGGTGGGGGTCTTCATGCAGGCATTTTATTGAACTCTAGAGGCAGAGGATTTCTCGTTAACATTGCCGCAATAAGTATACGTCGTGGAAAGGTACCTCAGGGTCCCTCCCCTCCCCCCTCTCTTCTAAAACGATCTTAACAGGTCTTATTACTTTGTTACCATGTAATAAAATCCTATTTCGTCAGCTTTATCCTCATTCATAGCGCGACTGCAACAACACCAAACAAATCAAAAACAAAACCGAGAAAGAAAAAGGGGTTTCTTGGAGTTTCAGTGCCACGCCTATGGAACCAAAGTTAGGGGAAAATCAAATCCAAGCAAAATGAAACGAAACAAAACATTGCACTAATTGAAAAAAAAAAATTCGAACACAAAATGGAGATGCAACGCCTCCTTTTTGGAAATTGACAGCAACAATCAAATCAGTTCGAAGAGAGCCTTGGGAATTTCTCTTTTCCTTTCCTCTCCTCTTTTTTTTAATCTTTAAATACACATCGTTCTAGTGAATTACTCTTCTTAACATTCGCCATGATTTTATCTCCAACAGGATTGTATCTGCAATCATGCGAGAGTGTGCTGGAATCAAGTACTAAAGGAACACTCTGTCTACTTTTTTTTACCTGTTTGCAAAGCCTGAGGCTTTTAGTTATTGTCACATAAGTCGATCCTTTTTTTAACATTTCTAGATAGTTTTTAATTTGTATACTTTGTATCCCAATGTTTTTTTTCAATTTACTTGATGATATTCATTTTTATTTTACTTTATTCTTTGGTCTGCCGACCGCTGCAAGCCAGCGTCTAGATTACCAATAATTCATTCCTGGTGAACCTAACCTTCGAATGAAGAACTTAGTCAGAACTGACATATAAAAGTTCAAGATATTTTACAACTTGTAGAATTGTATCTCCCGTGGGCTAACAATTGAGCTTAGGCCAGGAATAAAAACAAGAATTCTCTTTTATGTTTTGAGTGATTTCAAACGTGATAGCAATGTTACCAAGTAATTGCGCCTTCTTTGCATTAAAAATGAATCGTATAAACCGATCGGTTAGTGGTTGCTTCCAAAGTACCATTGCAATGCGTTAAGTGTAATGTGACGCGAATTGTTCATTTTGTTTGTTTATTTTATTTTTTCATAGATATGTGGATGGAGCTTAAATATGTGTAGATTGCACATATTCAATAAAAAATGTTCGCTTGAGAGCCTGACATTTTACTATTTTGCTTTCTGTTGCTTTCAAGAATCGTTCCTTACTTTTTTTCCTTCCTATCCTTCCCCCCATTCCCAATTAGTCTTTCCCTCCATTAAAAAAGGTTTTCTTTCGTGGGTAATTTGAACTTGTTTCGTTCACTGAATTCCTGGAATAACCATGGAGGTTAGCAGAGCGAAGCAGTTCTTTGAGAAACTTGGTGAAATTTTCGATAAATATCTCAAAGAAAACCTTTGTCTAAATGTCGATTTATTTTTAAATGGCCGAAGTTAGTAACTCTATTATCACAATGTAGTACAAATGTAAGAAATTAAAATACAATTCATTCCTACAATTCACCAGGAAATTCCAAAGCTTTTTGTTCTTTCTTTTACAGAAAAAATATCATAAGGGCCTTCTCTCCTCCTCTGGTCATATTTTTTCTTCTTTTCAGTTTTGTTTTAGATGAACTTAACCAAATTAAATCTACAGTGCATTCACTTCAGAGAACTGGCTAAGGTGCTTTCGCCCTCTCAACAAACTTAGAAATTCACAAAAACTCACGGCGACTTTTTTCTAAAGGAGAGTAAGTGTATGGTGGCCTGTAAGTACTATTCTAAATGCGGAAAAAAAAATTATTTGGAGAACGGTGTAAAAGTTGTAACTGCGGATTCAAAGTTCATAATAATAACTTTAGATCCATAGTTTTAAAAGATTTTGTTGTTGGATCCGTAGTTGAAGCTTTTCCACCAGTATCCACAAGGGCGAAGCCTTTCATGTGAAAATGACTCATCTAATCTAGAGTAGATAATACCCGATTCCGCTACAAAATCTCATTCCCAAAAATTAAAGTTGTTGAAAGTTCTAATCCATTCTTTGCTGA